CCCTAAACCCTAAACCCTTTTCAGCTCAGGCTGCCTCAGCAATGACAACAACTTAGACTCAGCCATGGCAATGGCATCCGCCTCGGCAACAGGGTCTACGTCGGCTTTTATTATAGGGTTTAGGGTTTAGGGATGTGTACTGGTTTGCATATGGCCTTCTTGGGTTGAACCACTGGGTTCTTGCGACGGAGTTTAGTTTATGTTGTGAGCCTGAACAGGAAACCAGGCTGGCTTCACAGTGATATGTCAGAGCTTCAAGCGGGTTTAGAAGGGCTCCACGCTGCAGAGTCTAGTGATCTACGGGTCGGAATACTCAGTCGATCGCTGTGGTCCCTTCTGTACAAGATACAAAAAACTTCCTTCAAATTAGTCAGGCCTCAAGTATCTAAGCCCTAAACCCTAAACCCTAAACCCTAAACCCCTAAACCCTAAACCCTGAACCCTAAACCATATAAGTGTCTGGGGCTAGGGAAGGCCGTGCTGCCTTTCGGGCTCAGGGCGTAAGGGTGCTTTGGTGCTTAGGAGGTCAGGCCTTTGGGGTTCACAGCCAGGGGGTTCCGCTGTGTGGAGACAAGATTCGGTTAGGGTTCAGGGTTTATAAGGCTTCCTAGACCCTAAACCCCTGAGCCCTAAACCCTACACCCTAAACACTGAAACCCTAAAACCTAAAATCCTAAACCCTAAAACCTTGAGCCGTAAAACCCTGAACCCTAAACCCCAAACTCTTAGGGCTTGGGGTTTACGATCAGGATGTGATTTCCTGACTACGCTGTCCGAAACGTAGTCTCGTAGAGGTGTTGGGCCGTTGGGTTTGGGGGTTCAGGGTTTAGCACGGTTCAGGGTTTAGGGTTTAGGGTTTAGGGTTTAGGGTTCAGGGTTTAGGGGTTAGGGGTTTAGGGTTAGGGTTTAGGGGTTTCGGGTCTAGGGTTCGGGGGGCTGTGTAGAAATTTGGTGTGCTGGCTGAGTGTCGGAAGACTGATGGAGACGTTCTCGGCTGAGCAATGGAACTCCTGAACCGCCCTGGACCCTAAACCCTAAACCCTAAGTGTTGGGCCCTAAGGGATGCGACTGGACCTCAGCAGAGAGAAAGTCCCAAAGCATTAAAAAAAAACTTAAACCCTAAACCCTAAACCATCACCCTTGTGTGCCAAACGCTCTTCTGACCTTTTTGACACCAGCCCTACAGTCCTAAACCCCGTGGCGCTCAATGGGCCCTGAATGGTAGAATGCGCAATATAAGCAGCCCAATAATAAATCCAAAAGCCCTAAACCGTTATAGATCACCTAAGAACCCATGAAGGAACTGCTACAGGCACCCGAACATGAGCCCTGAAGGAAACTCTAGAACCCCCACCCCCACCAAGTCCTAAACTTGACCCCAAACCTAAACCCTGAACTCTTAGCCCTAAACCCTGAGCCCTAAACCCTGGCTTCCTAAACCCTAAACCCTACATCCTAAACCTAAACCCTGAACTCTAAGCCCTAAACCCTGAGCCCTGAACCCTAAACCCTAAACCGGGGCTCTGCAAATCTTCCAAGCTCCTTACACAACCCCTAAACCCCAGAACCCGGACCGCCCCTGCCCTAAACCGAAAACTCGAAACCCCTAAATCAGGAAACCCCAAACCTTAAAAAGCCTTAAATTCCCGAAATTTCAGAGCCCGAAGCCTCTAGAAGCCCGAACAGCCCCAAACCCGAACTTACAAATCCTCAAACCCCCGAGATCCCAGAAACAAAGCCCTAAACTCCCGAGATCAAAAAACCCCTAAACCGAGATCCAAGCAAAAAAATCCTAAACACACCAAATCCAAATAAGGAAAACCCTAAACCCTAAACCCCTAAACCCTACACCCTAAACCCTAAACCCTGAACCCTTAAACCCTAAACCCTACACCAGGCAGATGAGGCCTTGGAGATTTCCGTGGAGTCGGAGGATCCAGTTGGCGAGGTCGCAGCGTCAAGGGCTCGGGTTCATCACGTCCTTTGAGGGGCGGTTTGGGGTTTCAGGGTTTAGGGTTTGGGGTGTGGGGTTTGGGGTTCATCATGTCCTTTGAGGGGCGCTTTGGGGTTTAGGGTTTTGGGTTTGTGGGGGTTTCGGGTTTAGGGTTTGGGGTTTAGGGTTTGTCGGGTTTAGGGTTATGGTTTAGGTTTGGGGCTCTGGTTTTAGTCTTTTCATTTACGGGCGGTTTGGGGCTTAAGGTTTACAGGGTGTAGGGTTGAGGGTGCCTGAAAGGGTTCCAGGGTTCCCGTTAGGAGTTCCAATGATGGCTCAGGGGATCTGGTAGGTGCAGGCTTTAGGGTTTAGAGGGTTTAGGGTTTAGGGTTTGGCTTTAGGGTTTAGGGTTTAGGGTTCAGGGTTTAGGGTTTAGGGTTTGGGTTTAGGGGTTTAGGGCTTGGGTTCAGGATGTAGGGTTTTCAGCCTTTCGGGTTCACGGTTCAGGGGGGGCATTATTGGCGTTCGTGTTTGGGTCGAACGTTACTCTTCGAGGGTTTGTATAGGGATGAGAGATCATGGGTGTTGCGGTTCGGTTCGG